CTTTTGTGTTTTGATTAAGTTTGGGTTTGGGTTTTGATTTTTTTTGATTTTTGACTTTTTGCATGGTTTTCTCTTCTCTTCTTTTCTTTTCTTTTCTTTTCTTGCTTTGGTTAATTGAACGGGGTTTCTGGAGTGGGTATTTTGTTTTATTGTTTATTTTTTTAATTTTTTTTTTCGAGGGGCAAATAATGTTTGGAATAGATGGTGAGTTTTGTTAAGATTGAATTTGCTTTTCTTTTTGCCTTTGCTTGCTTTGCTTTGGTATTTATTACTGTGTATGTACATGTATGTATAACAAGAGAGGGAATGTTATAAAATACATCACTCATCTCTCTCTCGAAATTCATCACTTATCCATCTCTCAAAATTCAACATGTATGTGTGCGCAGTAATATTCACAATCAAAGTTACAGCCACAGTCATCCATAATGCTATTTCATCCTTCCAATCTCCAATCTCAAATCTCACATGTCTATTCCGCAATCCTTTAATGTTCCTTCTCTTCTCCCTTTGGGCTTTTCTATTCCTCCCGTGTTTGTCTACGAGATTCATAGATGGGTAGAGTTACATTATTGTAATCCCTCTTCTCACGATTGTTTGTTGCGTTTACCTAGGGCCTTTGGTGTGCTGTGCTTTGAGATCTTGGAGATGGGATTTGATGGATAGATGTATTTTTGCTCCCGTTTCGTTTCGTTTCGTTTGGTTTGATTTGAGGTCATGTTGATCTGGAGTGAATGTGTAGGTTATGTGTTTTATTTCCGGACCTCTGGGATTTCAGAGGATGGACTAGGTCTGACCGTTTGTGTTTGGGAATGGGGCAGAGGAGAAAAGAGGGGAATAATAGGATTGGGGAAGGCGGGTTAGAAAAGTTTGTTTCGGTTGGATTGGTAAGTTTGGAGTGGATTTTGATGGGTTGGTAGGTAGAGAGGGAGGATGTAATTCGACTGGCATATTTTGTATCAAATTGAGGGTGTTACTACTAGTCCTGGATCTAGAATCTGGGGATGGGAATATGGTCGAAGTCTAGTGATTATGACATTTGTTTGGATGGTTGTGGGCATTTATTAAGATGATCTGGAACGAGCAGGTGAGTATTGATATTCATTCGATTCCTGAATTTGGTAGATGGGGTAAATACTGTTTGTGAGGACTTCAATGTCAAGATCTTCTTGAGATCTTGATTGTATCTATAGCCCTCTCTATGACTATCATCGCCAACTCCGACGCTCTTACTACCCATAACCATCAGATTGACACGTGCTCTGCGAGAATGTACAAGAGTAGAGAGGATGACTGTAGCTAGGTAGTAATTGTCGATTCTTGAGAATTGTTTGAGGGGACACAAGTATACCTACTCACTCACTAGTATAAACTAAATACCCATTCAGCTTCACTTCCATCTGAAGTTTACCATCTTTTCTCGTTTACTATTTTCCTGGAAAGGAGGGAGGGGGAAGTGTTGGTTTGAGAAGGATACGAAAGACGTAGCACCTACGAGTGGTAGGTCCTAAATGTCTATATTGTATTCGGTCTAAAGAGCTAACTCATCTACAGATAATAGGCCTTAATTGAGGGCCATCGAAAGAGCTAGTCTCTTTCGCATTCGCTTAGTTTAGTACAGTAGCTATTGAATTGAAGTCATTCACCTACGTTCATACAGAAGTCTATTCTGTCTCATATTCTATTCTGAACGGATGACCTGGTAAACACTTTCGCGAAGAGAGAAACAGTTGATCCATTGAATATATGTACCAATGGAAGATCCCAGTTCATGTTGTTGAACATTGATACTGAGTAGATAACTTTTCTTCACTGTTAAGTTCTCATAAAACTCTCATGTTGTCGATATTCTAAACTTTCTTCGTCTGATATATATTGTCGAAGAATACGTTTCATTGTCTATACATGTTCCTACATGCCGATTCATCTTTCTAGCTATATCCATCCAGCTAACTACCTCCTACCTGTACTTACAGAGAGAACCTGACCCAGCAACGCAAATTGAATCTTACAAGCAAAAAAATTACAACGCAGAAGCCGCTTCAACCTCTCCTGGCGGCGTTTGCGTTGGTGATTCTGGAAAGTTAGATGAGTATGTGGTGATTTATGTATAGAAAGATGGAGTTTAGACTAGAATTGAGATTGAGATTGAGATCGATTTTGGGTGGGAGGAGGGGAGAGTGAATAAGTGGTTGAATTAGGATTTGGAGATGAACATTTAGAGAGTGGGGATTTGATGAACGGGTGAGAGTTGGTGAGAATGTGTGTTCTGATACCATTCACTTCTATTCGTATCTTGATGATTCTTTGCCCCCTTTTGCTTTCTAACGCTGGCTACCTCAGTATAAATATATTCCAAAGCAGCACTGTAAACTGTAGATTATTCCAAAGTGACTTGGATCTAGAGTGGTTAGTGCTATATACTGCGATAAGTAGCGCGCACTTGGCTTTTCCTTGAATGTAGTAAGGATCGGGTTAAGAATTTCATCTCTGGCTTGGGAGTGTTTTACAGAGGCGTATTGAAGTTTGGGATTCGAGACTTTAGAACTTCAGATTTCCAGAAAAGTGGAATGGAATGGGACGATAAAGATTGATGAGGAGTATTAGATGACTTCACATGACATGACGCAATATACATATACAAGGTTATATACAAGTTTCATTCTGTAGCACCTTCTCTCAAGTCAACAGCAGCCTAGCATCTGGAATCCAAGCTGCTCAGAGGATCGACTCATTATCATAGGAAGAGGACATGCTATTCTTGCTGGGGTTGCAAATCTGTGCTTGGGGCTGGATTTATATGTTTTGGGATGTTGAGGATTTATTAGACTTGCAGTTGATTGGATATATTCACCACTTTCCCCTTTCTATTTCAATTTGTTCGAGAGTTAAAAGGGCTCGCAGGTACTGAGACGTAGACATGAGTGATCTTGACATTACAGAAAGAGATAGAGCAGCTGGGAGGATGAAGTGAGCTGCTGTGCTGGGTGTATCGAATCAGGGGAAAGGAGAACTGCAAGTGTTTTACGTATCGCGTGACGTGGGGTGTCAGTATAGTGGCATAGGAAGTTCTGCAAGGGAAAGTAGAGATGGAGTGGAGATGGATCGGCGAGGTAAAATCAGATGGGTAACTTTTACTGTCATTCAGTTACGTGGCCGTAAATAGGATGAGAGTTCAAGAGAGATCATGGCTGGTTTCTCAGTAGGGTTATATTGACATGAGCATGAGAGATACTGGTGATTCTTCAGTTAAGCAACATGATACTGATCTGATCGCTGTTTCTTGTATTCTACCATTCAAGAATCTTTTTCTGTGGGCTTTTATGGATGAAGAAGGGGTGATGGGCAGGTAGATGGCTACTCCTGGATATTGTATTCACTTTTTGATATACATTTTAACTAGTTCTGGCATCCGGTTTGTTCTGATATCTTGATGTACCGAGTATGATGAATGTATACAGTTCATTGGCTAAATTCCCAGTGTCTACATAAGTATATGCGGAAGAGCTCCTGAAGCAAAACAATATCCCTGAAAAGCTTGTTCTCGCTGTGGTTCAGGGAGCTAGAAGTGGAAAGCAAGACTGCACGTTGTATGGGACATAGAGTGTGCAGCAGGAAATGGGTAGTGCTTGATTAAAATATGGCCTGATATACTTGAAGATTTTGATCTCTCGCTGTCAATATTCGTCATTTACTATTGGCATGAGAATTTTCATTGACATTTATAACGAGAGTTCCGGTATCAGACGAGGGTTGTGTAGGTGGGTGTATTACTATCGTGCTCTCTACCGTTTGAAAGACTAAGAAGACACAACGTAGTAATAAGTCATGAAGCTTTAAAATCATATTCCTGTATCCTTTTCCATTGTTGAATTCCCAGTTTCCCGATTCACTTCTGAACTTCTATCAATTACTTGCTGAGTTATTTATTTGATTAATCAACCTAAATACGCACAAACCAAACACCTAGATGCAGATATACCACTCCTTTATTCTTCCATCTATTCATATCCCCATCTGCCAATATGGAATGTAAAGGTGGGCAATGGGCGGGAGAAAGTGAAATTGCATGGAAAGTAGGAGCAGAGTATCCAATAGTCCGGACTGCAGTCCAATAATACAAGGGTTTGAATGTCTAAAAGCAGTTAGAAATTTGAGAATAATTTAATCTTCCAATAAAATTCGAAAATTTCAAATGATTTGAATATGTTAGTTAGTTTGGAGATTTGATAATCTTCATTTCTAGACTGCAGTCCAGACTATTGAGAACTCTGAGTAGGAGTGTATATATATATTCCTGAGAGTATAAGTGACAGATCCTGAAGACCTAAAGGGAAAGGCTTTGGTCTCGCTTGCTGTGATGAATGAACTGTAATAAAGGAGTTGAACCGAGTTGATTTCAGGTGTATATATGGATACAATATGATAAACTAAATACACAACATTGAGAGTTGAGAGACCCTAAAGATCGAGTAGAGATTTAACACCCATTGATCCTCACTATATCCATTAGAATATCATCCTCCCTTCAACCTACCACTCTGACTCTTCATCCCCTCTATTTTCTCCTACAATTCCCTCCACTCCTCTTCCCTCCCCCTAAAAATCAAATTTAGAGCCTCATGATCTGCAATCACTACTTCATACGACTGGTATCTTTTGGTCCTCATCCGTCGCCTTTCTCCCCACTACCTCCTTTCCCCAAATTTCCCTACTCTCCAGGAACTAGTTCAAAGTCAAAATAAAAGATAGGTTCAGAATAACTAAAATCGTTGCCTGATAGGAGATTCTTTCTCCAAAACATGCTGTTTAACTCAGCCCAAAGAGTATGGATGCGTATCTGGCAGCTTTCAAGTTATCTTCATCTTTGTCTTCATCCTCATCACCTAACCACCTCTCTTGTTTTCAGATAAAGAGATCCAGTAAATCCTACTCATTACTCATAATTGCGTGAGGATTAACACCCATTATTATACCTTTTGCAATAAAATCTTCATATATTAGAGCTTCTCGCTGGTTTTCTCATCGGCTCCTGATCTCTCTTCCGAATAGTCAATATCCCTCCAGAGCTTCCCTGGCACAGGAGACGCTATCCCTAGTGCCTCATTAACAACCACTTCCAGAAACCTACATTCCTTTCTTTTCGTCTCAATTACATCATTCGTATTTGAAAACATAGCGTGACTCTCATGAGCAAATACCTTGTATGCCGAATATGAATGAGAAAGATAGAATATCGGAGCGCTGAGGAGGGTTGAAAGGGCTGTGCCTCCTAGAAGGAAGAAGTTTTCTTTTATACCACAGACGTAAATGAAACAAGTAATTAGATAAAATAAATAAAAATGACAATTTTGCGTCCAACTCCAGCCATAGACCTCAAGTAGAAGAATAGAATAAGAAATAAAAGAAATATACCAGCAGATAACAAAACCATAGCCTCAGCCCACGACTGACTATTTTCAATCTCTTCCATCCTCTCTTCGTGGGATCTGACAATATTAGATCTAATATCTTCCTCACCTGCTAGAGCATAGAAATCATGCTTCACGTCTCAGGTCAGCACCATTGGTTCGTTGATTATGTGTTAGATGGACATTGAAAATACAATGCTGTTCTTTTGGTGAAGATGGCGAAAAAAAGGGTGGGGATTTAGAGGTTAAAGATCATGTCACTATGAGGGGTGAGTTAGCTAGTAGTAAGAAGAAGCTGGGTAGGGAAGTGTAGTGAGTAGGAAGGTAATAGTAAGTCATGTCGATTTCTACTCAAGATCTTTCAACCATAACCGTTTTCTCCAAATATGAAACAAGAGTAAAAGCATCCACATACTGAAGATACCCATCAATCAACTCATCCCAACCGTCGCTTTAGGGATCCATCTATCATCTTCTTCTAGCTGACATTCCATACCCATACCACTTGTCCCGCTATATTCCTGGTTACCCTTTCGCTCAATGTGAACATATCTGCCACTTGCTCTATTTTCTGCTCCCCTTCTCTGTTCCTCACACTTTCCCCAGTAGATTTGAAAATCACGTCAATTTCATTCTTTATAACCAGCTCGAAAACTCCTAACAGACGATCTGAGAGCATAGAGCCATAGATTCTACGCTTTTAACTGATAGACAAGGCGGAATAGAGTACCGAAGATATTGATCAGAGGTTTGAATTGGGTGTGTGTGTAGATGCGAGCCTTTCTCATGAAGGGATGGAGGTAGATTGCCTGGGGAAGAGTTGGTTGCTATGGTAGATTTGCATTGGGAGGGGATGCGGAAAAGAGGCCTGGAGGTATTGAAAAGTAAACGGTTAATAGCGATTCTGTATACGGGACGTGAGTAGTAGTACTACGTATATTCGAATGTCTTCGAAGTATACAAATCATATTTCAGATGATCAAAATAAATAACAAGATGAAGATACTTCCTCACAGTAATAGCCGACATACCCATCTGTGAACTTGGCAATGAATGAACCTAGATAGTTTCTTGAAGGACGAAGAAGAGTTGTGTAGCTAATAGTGATAGTAAAGAGCCACTGGTGAAGCAAAGTATGTTTCAGTCCTATTCATAGTATTTGCCGCCTTTGAGATTCCAATCTTCCTTGCTAGCGATGTTTTAAGAGGGAGATGTGGGCTGTCACTTCGGATAAATCCATCGAGGATCTCACAGGTGAGAGGATTCGATTCTTCAAGATCTCAATATATCAAGACAAACCTGAAGAGTCAAACCAGTAGACAGTCTTCGTACACACAATGAAATCCAGAAAAGAAACCCAAAAATCACTCATGAGAAATAGAATCACAAATCAATGTCATGAAAGAGGGCAACACCTACCTATGATCGAAAAAAGATGGAAAAGAACTCCAGATATATATCAATCTACATAGTTTTAAGCAAGGCAGAGAAAACACTAATGGCTGCAGCCGTGAATTTGACTTGGAGCAAGGCATGTGGGATAATTTGTGTTTCGTTGCAGCATCTAGTGAATACGGGAGTATTATTGTCAGATTGAGATCAGATTGTTTACTTGTTTACTTCTATATGAGACCTAAGAAACGGACGGATAAAAGAAGAAAGATTGAGAACAGATGTTACGTGATCCAAAGGTATTTGGAGAAGATATAAGAGAGAAGGCAGGCAGCAGGTAATTTGAGAATAATTACAGTTAAAGTCACAGTTTGTCTATGTTTACATTGTTACCTTCTTGTTCGTTCTGCAAAATGCCTAAGATGCTAGCCATGATGAAATACAGACGTTGGATACCTATTTTCGCAGAGTATCGCGATTTCAAAATGGGGGATTCCAAGTTGATATAACAGTCAAATCGTGGTTTCGACTTCAGTGGCTTGCTCATTGCTGGTCCGGACCTTGAAGGAGAGACTTAACGATGAGCTGCAGCCATAGTGTCATGTGCAAATATGTTATAATCGTAGATGCAGCCTGGGTGAATATGTGGACTTTGAAACTGTATCCTTCCGCCGGAGAAGCAAGAAAATGGTGTTCCCGTGGATGTCTTATTGTGAAACCCCAAAAAGGGTCTTAATACCAGATTATCACTGGTCCACATTAACTTACTTCCAACCCTTATATTATAATTTTCGTATCTGTTGAGCAGCAGAAATATGAAACAAAAGCCCGTCGTGGATTGCAATGGACAAATGGAGATGGTTTCGGTTCTGAGGCAGATGGAGTGAAAAAGTTGGGTGTGAAGTTGATGAAATTAGGAAGATATCTGTGCGTGGTGAGTTAGCAAATTGTATTCAAAATCGGGAGTAGTGGCACATTTCATTGAGGAGAGTCAGGAGTGGGAGGAGAAAATGGATAGGAGGAGGATTGTGAGCCGAGGGATAGAACTCATGATTGGAGATTCCAGAACCGCAATTATAACCTCCGAGAGATGTTCATATTTGCACATGTGAGGCCGAACAGTGAATGCAGGAAGGGCATTCATAACCGGAAGAAAAGGAACAAAGAGAGAACTCCAGAAATTGAAAGAAGCAGAGCTCATGCGTTGATGGGAGTGTTGTAGCCATTGGCCGAGTGCTGGCAGGTCCGAGTATGAGACAAATATATTCCAGTATTTGTTTTGAGAAGGCTTTAGCTGCAACTTCTAATCAAGCTAAATACTCCCCCTCCTCCCTTTAGTACGATACGCGAACGGGAAATGAAATCGAAAGGGGCCGTGGATTTTTTACCGGTGATCGCAGAGTCTCTTATTGTAGATCAAGATCGAAGATCGTAGCGAGCGTGCGGATATCTACTCTTGCAACTTTGATTGTAGGTATCGGCAGAGAAATAGATATGTCCAGCTTCTCTTTTGTAGATTGTATCTATGTACTTTATATCGAATTTTGTCTTTTAGATGCTATGGCGGCGTTCAGACATGCGTTGTAGATGCTCGCATGGTCCTCCTCGGTCTCCTTCTCCTTTCATGTTTAGCGATAGCTACTTGGAATGTCGGTTGGCGATAAGTTTAGATATTCGGCAATGGATGATGATGATCAGGTGCCATCTTGTATGGAGGGCTGCTGCTCTTATGAAATTAGCATTTTGAATAGTAAACGAGAAAGGAGTATTCGTCTGTGCAACCGTGCCGTGAATACCTGAGACCTGAGGAAGATGTTGGGACCAGATGAGCTCCATTTCATCCGCAGATTATAACTGAGAATTTCGACTGGAAGGACGAAAATCTGACTCTGGCATGGACCTTTGCTGCTGATATGAGACGAAAGTTACTGATGTATAATTGTTGGAAATGGTTTGGGGTAGATACTGATGAATGCCGCCAAACGTTCGAGGCTAAAGAGAAGCAGCATCTCATGTGTATCTAGGGTGTATGCAGATTGTTCTGGATGTTTAGATTGGCGTAAGGAAGAAATACCTACAGAGTTAGGCGCTTTCAACTTTCAGAATGGGAACGAATAATGCTACTACTGTACCTATTGTTGTACAAACTCCTCCCTATGAGGTTTTAATGCGATTGGTGTGTTGATAATAAATATGAACCATAGAAGTTTCTTCATCACATCAGTATGTTGTTGAAGTATTAAAAAGAGATATGGTTATTGGTTTCGATCTCGAGTGTGTGGTTCGAGAGTGCAGTAAATACTTGGTAGGTATGGGTTAGAAAGTGTCGAGGCTTGCTTGCAGCTAGGGAAGGAACGCATTCGCCTTATAACCATCTTCGACAGATTTTGCTTTTACTTTCCAGATCAGTCTAAAAGGCCACCGGACCAATCCAAATTTCGTGAAAGTAAACTCATGAATTCAAAAATTAGCCACGCCATACTCTGAGTTACTTTGAGAATGTAGATACATACCGTGTATTTTTGATCGTGCTGTAAAGTTTGAGGTGCGATCCACCCAAAATCATCATGAAAGAGCCGTGGGAGCTATATGTGAGTAGGGTCGCAGCATTAGTGGTACTACCGAATACCTAGATTACGGTGCCCCTCCTTTAGTCAAAGATCTAGACTTGTACCGAATATAGTGATCAAACTTATGTTACAGGCTCCAGCAATATTCATAACAGTCGCTATATTTTCATGTCTAGATGGAAGAAATCAACCCTTTTCCCTTTGGATGATGTGCTTCTTCTAAACTCTCAAACTGCTTCCATCTCATTTTGGAGGTAAAGCGTCTTACGAATAAGAGACTACTTAGTACAAGGAAAGATTAAATTGACTAGATAATTTTATATGATTTTCTGATTCACGGCCTATTCTTGTAAAAAATTCAGAAGATCATCACAATCATTAGAATTACTGTACCACCATACTACGATCAATTCACCGTGAGTGGCTTCAATCCTACAGCGCAACCACGTCACCTGTTCAGAACAGCTCTCAAGCCTTTTAATGTCTCAGGGTTGAAAGGGTAATATCCAAGAACTGTGCTATCTCTTACTTGAAAGTTGGGAGTATGTGCAGATAGCTTAGAAAAGTGTGTGTCAGTGATATGATATGAGTCTGGATGAGAAATATCAGCTTGATAGAGCATCGCAGGTGTCATCTGCTATTACAATTCCTTCCATGATGAGTGTGTTGAGATTCCGGAGGCACATTGCATGTTACATACACTACTCGATCTCATTATCATATTAGTCGGCGATGCCACGCAGCGAAGAGTCTACACCACTACCCATATTCTCCTATGGAACATATAATTTGGTTATAGAGCCAGCCAAGGCGTTTTATTCTCTACCATACATAAACAAGAACTTCTACCTAAAGAAAAGAAAACGACACAAGAGAAATAATAGACATTAAGTTGTACAATAGAAGCTAGCTCGTTGGGTTCGCTTTTCCATCCACCACCCATTTTAGGGAACATGAATAGAATCTTGCCCTCCATTGCTGGTAAATAACTATTTAGAATCTCGCAATGTTATCTCTATAAGTTATACAATTTATATCCACAATTTCCATTGCGCCAGAAGTTACAGAAAACAGTAAGATAGTAACCAAGTAAAAAAAAAGAAATGTAAAAACACGAGAAGAAAGTACACATCCAACGATCCAAGCATGGATCTAATATCCCAAGTAGATTCTAAATATAAATACAGGTAGAATCTTAATCCCAAGTCGGCTACCGAATTATCAAAGCCCTCCTAGAAGAGGCAGATAATACGAATGATGGTTTGTCGGTCTGAAGTAGATGGTATGAATATCGCTAATTTGCATAATCGATATCGTGCGTTGCTGTGCTGCACTGCGGAAACTTGTAGAACCGGCGTGTGTGAGAGTAAGGACAGTAAAATTTGCGTGTTTGAAACGATGAGTTGGCTGGCTGACTGCGGTGGCTGAGTCGAAAGATCAGATATTTGAGGGAAAAAGTGACTAATTTCCTAGCCTGAATGCAACACCTCGTTGTGGCATTGAAGGCCTAAGTCTATAAGGCACGATAGGAGGTGCAGTGTACCCGGTGTTTTGATCCCATAGATCTAAAGTGTCATATCCGCTTTCCATCCACGCTCTCAACTCATGTAAGAATGTTTCTCCACGGTGCCTCTTGTGAAAAATGAATCTCACTCCTCCTTTGAGCTCATCAACATTCTCGCGAAGATCATATAGCTTTAGAAGTTCTACAATGAAGTCGGAGATCTCTTCGTGAGTTCTCTCCTCTCCCGTGGAGGTGTCTAGAGGCAAAGGCACAAATGCTATCTGAAACTCGCGGTTCATAAAATCACGGACTCGACGCTGCAAGACGTCGCTACCGGCAAATTCTTGAGGGGTGAACTTGTGAAATGTGCCGCCGATAGGATGAGAAAAGAGTCGATAGGTATATATCTTTGTGCGTTCAATATCTCGGCCCATGAAATAGACATATAAAGCGCGATCCTGTTGGAAAGTGGAAGAAGTTGGAGGAACCAGGGCCGTCAAGCGACGTACACCAAGATGAAGAAAGCGATTGATAACTGTGAAAGGTGCCCTACAGTAGGGACATGTGTAGTTTTTATCCTTCCATGTTTTCAGACAGCAATAGTGGAAGTCTTGATGACCACAAGATGGGATTGAGGCGGTCGAACAAACAATTATCTCGCATGTTCGGCAGTCTTCATTCTCATGGGGATTGGAATCAAGTGACGATAGACAGATCACACATTCTCCGGCCATGTCGTTGGAGATTCTGGCAGGTGTCATGTCGAGTTGTGAAGAGATCGTCAAATTGAAAGAATGTGAATCCACGCTTCTGTGAGCGTGAAATTTGGTCAGAAGGAAATAAACGAATTGAGCGGGGAAGTTGAGTAAATATACCTAAATTTTTAGTGTATTACTAACATTTCAGGTTACTTACCTACTTTTTGAATGGGTTCCGCCTGGGTAGCATCAGGTTCCAAGGTTGCTGATCTAGCCTTTTGTAGGCTAGATATCATCGAAGTTATTATCAAAAGCGGAATTTACCAGGAAGTATGGCTTGATACCAGGTACTCAGAGGTCTATCAAGTTAGACCTATCTCTCTGCCCGCAGAAGAGAACGAAAAACCAAGGCTGCCTTTGACGCGATTTATTGTCTAGAGAAATCCCACGAACGGCAGGAGCAATCGCATTCAGATGAGTCGGCAATTGGATGCCCGCACCGGGGATACTCAAAGCACCTTCCAGTATCTCTACACTCTTGTGGAATTCGATATGAGTTCAATTCATGAAGTGAGGACCGAGATAATTAATAATATTCTACGGTAGTAAGTCGGAAACTGAGGAATCAACACTTGATTAGTTGGGTACGTTACTTGAAGAACCAAGTATATCAACAAACAAATTAAGAGATATGAGTAAGAGGATATGTAGAAGGTCTTTCACTAAATACGCCTATTCTATCATTTATTTTGATCGTTTTTGGTTTTGGCCGATCCCAAAAGGTTTGATGCGTAGTCGCTGTGATTCAGTACACTCACCTAGATGGAAAATCAAGCAATTGTCTCATAGCAGACTACTTTTGAAGGACTCTACACGAATATTTACCGTATTCTATAGAATAAACGAGCTTTTTAGCCCCACTGGAATATGTACGGTAACATCATTGTTAAATATAATCATGATGGAAATCTAATAGCCGACGATTCTAGTTCTTTCGTTGATTGAGAGTACGAGAATCCCATTAAATTAATTCACTTAAGTCTTGAGAGAAACTTCTAGTCGAGGACATCTTGATGATGTTCAGAAATCAAGATCAACTGAGGAGAATACCGCGTCAGGTCCATTGTCGCAAACTGCTGATGCTTGAATTCCATCAGAATCATCGATGGTGGTTATCATAGACTTCTTTGGTGGGGTATTAAGTTGCTCAATTGCCAGACCCCACCTAGACACTTATGTACCAATAAGGAGGTCAAAATCCGCTTAGCTAGTGGAGAAAATGGGCATTATCAGCACAAAGGTCTGTATATTCAATCCATCGAGGTTGGGACTATTAATCTCACTCCCATCCAACAATTTTCCACTGCCAAAATTATCCTCGGTAGGCACTCTCCAGACTCTCAGTACTCATATCACCATAGATGAAGTAGAGCACATCAAGGATCATGTGGAACTAGGTACCCAGCCGACGCTAAGCCAATGCCGAGATTTTTTGTATCATTGACACCTTTATTCTTCCACATCAAATGTTTTATATCACATGAATAGAAACATCGTTGTCTCGAACTATTTCACAAGGAATATCTCTTAATGTCGTCTCTTCTACAAATTACACATGAAATATTCTTGGATTCCTGCGTTAACACCCTCAAACGGAGGAATATCGAGGAGGAACGGCAACCCGCTGGGAGTCCCCGCAGCACCAACCCTAGGCACTGCCGTAGAAAGTGTTTAAACCATCTCATCGGTGGAATAGAACTAGACTACCGACATCTCATGGCGTTCTCTAGTGTTCCGAAAAATTGAAATTGATTATAATGGACTAGACTGCCATTGAGCTAGACCATATCCCTAAGGGGATGAAAACCGATCTTATCGTAAATTATATGCCTATTCAGGCTAGCACCTCACTCTGTTCCTGTTTGTTAGTAATTCATGTCGATTTAACAATACACACAAACGTTTAACATCGAAAGTCACCGGTGGGTGTAAGGATTAGTGTTGTAATTAGTATGCGGTAGTGTTGCTGTGACTAATATAGGGAATACAATACGTATACTAGTATATATAATAGCTAATGATATTCATGTCTATACGTATTGTATGAAAGGGACTATACTAAAGGTATACTAGAATACACGAATTTACATATTTTTATTAGAATATTATATTTTGAATAGGGTTAAACTTAATATGGAAAGAGACTATTCGAAATATATGAATTCGAAGCAAAAATATGTAAATTCCCGTATTTCGGCATATTGCTAGTGATATTTGATATTACTAAAATACAGAATACTCTCAGTGATATATAATTCAATAATAATTACTGAAATGTTTTCGTAAATATTGATACGTATCACTAAAGTGGGGCGTAATTGAAATACGGAAAATACTAATTACAGCACTGGTAAGGATTGACGGGACACTTCAAAAGTGGAAGGAATCGCTCTTCTAGATGTTGAGGAGGCTCAAAAGTATAACTGCTGTGGATCTAGATTACATGTCGATCCGCTACTCGTACATTCGCACCTACCATATTTATCCCTAAAACCGATATAGGAAAGATCCCATGTTTGTAAACTAGAGTTCTTTAGTGCCCTTCTTAGTTCAATCGTCGTTTTTGATCAAGGAAACATTAGAATGGATTACTGCCAAGGTAACTGAAAGCATAATCCTGATTGTGAACCCCAAACTGACTTGGACCCTGTGTCTAACTTAACGCTGCTATTATCTGGTACTGATTATCCCTCCCAAGGCTTTGAAGCAGAATAGACATCAGCTGCACTTCGTATCCACATTTTATTCCCTAGGATATAAACCTCTTGTTCGTTTTGATTTGAGACAATTCATCGATTGAAGCAATTCGGTGCGAAAAAAAAGTCTTGGGGCACATAATATTAAGTCCTTGAAACGGGATAGCTGAATTAGTACACATCAAACGCGCAACCAGAGAAGTAAGAAATTGTCTAGGCAACTCATGGTTATGGCCCACAAGATGTGTTTTTATGTTGATCTCTTGCGTTCCACGTGATAATTATCATCAGCAAGACTCGGCGATGGTGAATCTACTCCCTGTAAACTCCAACCAGAAGTTTGAAAGCTCTACCAGGACTAGAATACTAAAAATATCTTCTTTCATCTTGAATAACAAGGAAAGGATAAGATGATGGCTAAGCATCTGTTAGTTCCACGTTATAATGAATTCTGTCTTGAGAAAGCGCTCATCATAAGAAACTTATGTTTCAAGTATGGGGCTTTTCGATCCATTTCTTATACTTTCAAGTTCTATCTTCATCACTGGCTGGCATGATATATAGAGAAGGCTTTCGATCTTTGAACTAGCTAAAAGAATAGAAACACAAGTGAACAATCCCAAATATACATACAATCCCAGCCTACAAAACTAACATTGTAGCCTATGAACCCAAGACTACTATTCCTCAGCTCATGATAAAAGCTATGCTACCGAAAAGAGCAATGTAAAATAATTTTAAATGATTACTGGCTGTAGAAAGTTGAAACCCTTTACCGCTCGCCTTCCCTGATGATATTCAATTTTCTTTCTTCTTGCATGTCTGTACAATAGACATTGGGAAATCTCTTACACTATTCTAGTGATAATCAAAACCATACACAAAGAGTTGCCGCGACTTGATCAGATATCTAAAGGCGATAAAAAGGCTGAGCCCTTGTGAAAAAAATCGTGATTTTCATGAACGTTCATTTCATTCGAAAATCTTAGGAAAGGAAGCGAGAGTATCGATGATGATTTCTAGGATTTATACACATCTAGGGGCTGTAAAGCCTTGGGCTTAGCTCTTGTACTCTTTGAATTTCTTCGAAGTCCTTTGCTATAGAAGACTTCTTATGCAATCGAGCAATAGAAGTGTACCAGAATCGAGACTGATAAAGAGGCTTATGCCATCAAATTATAAAATGCGCCCTTTACAATCCACAAGCTCTTTGTTTCATATATTACTATCCTAGGAAAAAGGGAAAAGTCAGCTTACATGCAACAGCATTACAGTTTCAAAACCAGAGATTAGATACTTACATGAGAATCTTTCTGTTTAATCTATACAGCCCCATCTCTCATCTGATGTCTTGCTCTTTCTCCCAGTCGAGTCCCTTGGAAGATTTCTTGATGGAAGATTTCTTGATGGATGTCCTCACGAATCGAGAAATTTTGGTAAGTTTACGAGACAGCTTTCCGAGCCGACCAACTTCTGCGGGCGAGGCATCCTCAATACTATGACTTTGGCCATCCTCTACATTGTCAGTTACCACCGAGTTAACAGCCGACTGCTCCATATTAGCCAACATGGCCTGGATGTTGGCTTCACTAAGTTGAACGGAATGCAACTGGGAACGAGAAAATTTAGCTCGTGCCCCCAGGATCTCATCCGAGAGAAAAGACCGCGACCTCTTTTGTTTTGAGAAAAATCGAGGCTATTTACACATTCCGTGACGGTGTAGGTTGTGTCACAACTACCGAGGACCGGGTAAGACTCCAAAGAGGCAGGAGTAGAGGATAGCGTGACCGATCTGGATATATGTTCCAAATGCTTAACGGAAGAAGGCATATTCGCCTGTGATACATCGTCCTGATCAATTGAATGAGCAACGAAAGAACAAGTAGTCATATGTGGCACATCCTGTTCAAATGAATGCACAACAGGCTGTGGTGCGGTCGTGGGAGATACAGTACTAACACTTTGTGCAGTGTTGGAGCTCCCAACATCTTTAGGACTCCATCTCATGCAAGCAAAACTCGGTCCTGATGATCGTTTGAGACCAGGTCTAGAGGGTCTCGTTGATGGATGTGTTACTGTATTAAACTTGCATGGCTTCTTTTTAGGATAGGTCGCAGCGCGATTCCATCCCTCTAACGTCTGACAGAAGCTTGTCAAGAACGCACGGGCTGAATGCAAGAACAAATCTGTATAATCATTCAAAGTATTTCTCACTATGTGTACCGCATAGTCTTTCTTCTTCTTCTGTTCCTCGGTCCTATTCTCCATCTGCAGCGTAGCTATTACAACATTTTCAAATGAAACCCCGTGATCGGGTACTATTGTGATCTGCTTTAATGCTTGAATCTCGAGTCTTATCCAAGCACGCATGAGACCCTTAGCATTAAGATCATTTCTGAAAATTTGCTTGCAGATCTCGATGGGGTCAAGAGCTTGCCCTGAGCGAACAGAATGACAGTACAACGTCTTTTCGTAAACTAATCGCCGAAGGGCGATAAGGTCCACACGAGAGTAAGGAACGTTCTTAGAATGACCTTCTTGGGCTGAAGATTGATGCGCCTTGTGATATATTCTGCGGTTCTTGATACATATTTTGACGTGTTCAAGCTCGAGTGACATGTCGACAAAACGACCCTCAAGAGGAGTCATGCGACGATGCTTTATAGTGACTGTGTTGCATTTAGGACACTTGGGATCTTCATAAAATTTATCTTTTATGCAACCGAAGTGAAAAATGCAATTGCATGGGTGCAATACAACAAATTGTTGAGCTTTATGAATATTCCAATTGCATTCCTGACATTGTGTGTCTTCATCCGAGCCTTCTTCATTCAAGCCTTCTTCATCCGAGCTTTCTTCATTTGTCGGCATATCGTCCTTGGCCGCAACGGAAGGACCTTCTTCGTTGGACAAAGTTTCTTCGTTATTAGAAGTCTTGTTATCAACGAAGAAAAACGCATCCTTATGCCTTGTTAAGTTCATTTGGATGAGACTCCCATGATTTACACTCGGCAATGAGGTACGAGACCTAGCTCCATTGTTTTTGATAAAGTGGTGATTCATTGTGCGTGTTTCGTGGTTGTGCTGATAAATCTTCTAAGAAATCATGAGTATCATGTGCGATCAAGTTCTGAACGTTCTGCTTACAGATATTCGTTCTTGCGATTAATGCTTTGGTAGTAACGTGGAAGCAGGATGCTGAAATTGAGGTGGAGAGGTCAATTTCAATGGGGAATTGAAGAAAAATAGAATGATAGACTTGGCTCACGATCAATGTTAAGGAGTTTGGGTTGTCAGGAGCATACTAAATCAAGAATTCCGGGTAAAACTCGGTTCGTGTACAATAGTCGATCTATTGATCTGTCGGAACTCTTTCATGCAATTCAAAAGAAATGTGATTGAATTGTACGGATATTGTGCTGGGTTTGAAAGAAGACTTGACTTGATGGAATAAGATAATTTAGATGTAAAAATGTGCTAATTCATCCTAGAAATGTGGAATTATACTTGATCTGCCGTGAGAATGGAAGTCGAGGTTTTTTTCTCGAAACGAGGAGATCAGTACCCTGACTTACCCGCTGTTAGAGCGGTAAGATCCGTACTTGTCAATTAGGTACATGGGCATGGTCTCGCTTAGCATTAGTTCAGTCTATTCTAGTTAACGTTTATTTCTGTAAAACTATACTTATGATAGACTGTATAAGTTAGAGATATGTAAAAGTTCACAAACAACCGCTAGGTAGAAGCGAACTAGTTTTCGGTATAAAATAACAAACTTCTCAATTAGTGTATATTTTACGCACCTACGGAATAAATCAACCGTCCATCGCTAATAAGTGACTTAGGGCGGCAAGGATCAATATTATCTCGATGCATCCCTCTCACCCCATTGAACATAGAAAAGCAGACGAGGTATTTGATGCCATATAGGATAGCTCACTCCTCGTATGGGGTCAGAAACAAATTATCAATGTCCCGATTGACTTATATACAAGTAGACACAAGTTGAGATATCAACATCGAAGTCGGATTAAGGAATATGTCCGTGCGGATTAACGGCTGTGGCGTTTTCGGTTATGCAGGGTAAACGGCATCCAATGCGGATCGCGATCACCAAATAACATTATAAACAAATACTCACAGTAGCATTATTCCTACGTGAAGATATATTGTGAAAGCATACAGGAGTAACAGTTATTTGGTTGGTGAGATGAACATGACTTGTTCTATTACTCTAATGGTGTATCATTATAATGATGGACATACACTGCTTCAGTAATTCATAGACTATTTTTAATCAGAGGCTAGCTAACATTCAATCATGTTCTGCATCGGTCGAAATTGACAAGTCGACCCGAAAAGCGTTTTCGACTAATGTCAGGATCTACTGCCAAGTGTCAGATCTGCGCGCTATGATCATTCCTGCAATGGGATTCGCTAATTAGTCCGCCGGGAATAGGCGATCATCGGTATTTACCCAAGCTTGAGTTAGATTTTAACTGGTTCTCGCCGAGCATCTTCTGTAATGCGTGAGTTCTGGATAAGATGAATGTCCTCGGCGTAACGGCTCACTGATCATACCCAATGAAGGTATAGGCTAGAAAATCTGAATGAATCGCCATGAACTTGCTTAGCTCAGTTATTAGTGGGGAGACAAGAATGACTCCCATATATATCGACCCAAGCCTTTGTAATTTTTAAGAAAGATTCCAGACTCCTTTTGCCTCGATTCGTTGCTGAGATACATATGCCATAGAAGATAATTTTATGAGGCATTTTGTCCTCATTTCATCTATTTCATCCATCACATTCTTCGATTTCTTTCAGCAGTTAATCTGTTCCTTCGATTGGCTGGTTACCAGCAATTAGTTCGATCGAATCCAACGTGTATTTTTAAGTCCATATATAGAGCGATGGACCAACGACGGGTCTCTAGAATGCATTCTCTCATAAGCGGCGACGACTAGATCGAAACAGGATTAGAATCGTCTACAATGAGCAAGACTTATTTCCTCAAACGAGTTCGTCCCGCATGCATTAAGAAAAATGAGGGCTATCAATTAAACCATCATTCTGTCAAGCCGAAGAAGTAGGTTTTTGAAAGTCAGCAAGCCAAAACCCAGATTTTTGCCGTGATGGGCTAGGGTGAGAAGATCTACGAGGTTTCCAAGGCTCCTTATCACCTTGCACAAAAGATATCGCAACCAACAATATTTCGTTATTGAATCTCGGGATCAAACCGGAAATTAGCATTTATCTGGCCTCTGACTGACAGAAAATTGGTAATATTTTGTAACTTTAAAATTGCGAAAGTAAATTACCAAATGATATGGATGAAGCTTTGCTACATCCAATCATTACTGTGTGTTCGTATGAAGCGCTTTGAGAAGCAAAAACGAATATTGTTATCAAAACAGCCAGAATTGATCTCCCTTATATAGTGATCAGAGTCGATTCGCCGTCGATATACACTCACCCCGAGACGAACGAGAACCGCCTGCCCATACGTCCAGTTATCACTAGTCTTCTCAAAGAACTCTTGCTTTGCTGTTCCAAAGGAAAAGCCCAGCTCGTGCATCCAGAGATAATAGAACACCAGTACCATATGTATCACCCTATGAAGCGATGATTTACTTGTTCGGCCATAAAGCAAGGAATTTCGAGTTTAGTTGCACATGCCACAAGATTGTAAACTATGGTAGGGGTAACTTGGCATTCATCTAGCGGCAAAGTTGCATGCTTTCTAGAACCCTGATTGTAAAAGGCATGACCTTTATTTACGGTGGATCTTCATACTTTCTTGGACGCGCAGCCATCTAATTCAATTGATCTTCTGAATGAACTTCTACCTGCCTAAATTCCAGATCATGATTATTCGAAGGATCTGTGGTGTAGCTAGTTACAGAGATCAAATGCTGGGGAAAACAAATTTTCAGTAGAAGATACGCAGCGCGGACTTGAATCCATACATCTTCAAAATCTTGGTAGCGAAGGTTATATATTTATTCGTATTCAAATCTTTTTACTGCCATTATTACAAGTTACCACTGTTTAGAGATTTTCGCAACTTCACAACCATAAGATACACAGGTATTCTAGATCTGCTACCATAAGCGAAAACGCCTGTTGTTCCAATTTCATTTCGAATTTACAATATTTACAACGACTTCTTCAAGACCATCTCAAAATTATCATTATCACGAAGAAAATCCAGCTGATATCATAGAGAGCCTTAGATACAGATTTTTAAGAACCTATTGGTTTATTAGTTGATATAGAGTTACGCCTCCAAAAATTTCGTTAGACGGAAAAGAAAGAAGCGTCAGAAATTAGACAGGAACCAAGGTAAGAAACAGCAAGTGCTGAGGTAGAAAGCAAGAAACTGAAAACCGCAGATGCATTGTTGGTTATTCGAAGGGCCTGTGATGGATCTTACTGATCAAGTTTTTGGAAGGGTCATTCATTAGATAGGTGACGTCTTTTCCAGAAAATCTGTGACACAGTTCCCGTTCTGCTGAATCTTTTGTGCTTGGAATTTCAATTGATGAAATAACAGATTGCTAGCGTGAAATCGTAAATTGTTGTTGTGAAACTGTGAATTTCTATGGTATGTTGTGACTTGATTAAAAGAGGAAGCCTACAGAGGCAAGGGAATATTTGAAGAGACCAGATCTCATTTATGAATTGGATGTTTGGTTTGAATGGGTGTAAGCAGGGGTGTAGGGAGGGGCATTGATGCCGAGTTTTCACTAATCTTAGGCATTGTGTTCTTTTCAGGACAAAAGCGGCTTCCTAATTAAAAAGTATAAGTGAGGATACGATGAATCAACAAGTGCTTCCTTTCGTCCGCATAAAGAAGTCTGGAGGACGTTGAGTTTAGCTAGGTATGTCTCAGATGCGAGTCTTAGGTGGCGATCCGATTATATTCTGTTGAACAGTCAACGATTTCTGTTTATGCTTTATTGTCGTCGTCGCTCAAAAATGCCAGTTATATGTAAGTCTAACTCAAACAATTCAACCCCTGCGTTAGTTGATACTGTGCAACTAGCGAGACGAGCATCTGTATGATTGCCACTTTATGGATTAAGATACAGAGTTTCAAATTACATGGTATGCCCCCATCTCTTTGGTCTGATCATACAAAATAGTGACGTGATAGATAGAATCCAGTCACCAGACCCAATCTGGCATCGTGAGATCAGAGCTTGGACTAAAACTGAAAAAAATGAGAAGGGATAATGAAGAGAAACTCAGGCAGGAACTGAATTGGACATGGTCAGGCAAACGCTGAACAAAAAAGCAGAGGTCAGAGGTCAGAGGATACCAGAAGAGTGCAAATTGATGGGGTGCATGGTCCGTGGTGTTGGGAGAAGCCTAATTAATTGTTGAAAGAGGATTGTGAGTATCCGAGATGGAAAGATTAGATGATAAATCGATTAATACATTCTACATGCACAGTATCATATATGTCACATAACTGGATTTCGCTCGTTCTCATTGTCAAACTAATGTTAGAATGCCAGAGTCATCTCTCCAGGAGAAAAAGAGGTTCGAGGTAAGTGCATGTACATGTGTATATTATGTTTTATTGGGTATCCTTAAAGCAACTCAGATCTAGACTTCACAATGTCTCTTGGTATTTCCAAGTGTATAGCGATACATGTATCTCTTCACAAACCATATGCGCAGCTCAAATTCTGGATTCTCTGGCGCATCTCTTTCGCGTTCCTCCTCAAGTCTCGCTCTCAAGTTCCAGTCTTTACTTCCTCCTCCTAAATCTACTGCCAACCCCTGGTCCACCTTTCGCTCCACTATTCCTCAACTTCAGCCTCTTGTAATTCTGTAGACTGCCTGCTGTAGCTTTGATCTTCCTGGCAGCCTTTTTGACCTTTCCTTCCTTGTTAGCCTCCCGATTTTTCTTTTTCGTCTTATCTTGATCTGGTCTCCTGTACCGCGTTCCTCCTTCTGAAGCTGTGTATTCGGAAGCGGAATCAGAATCGAAGTTGCGACCGTCGAGTGGAAATTCATCGGGATGTGGGAATTCGTCATCGTCAGGTGGAAGG